CACAACCAAGATCTTATTGTTGATACTGCGACGTCATTTAATTTACCAACTGCGGGCCAGATCTCCAACAAACATCTCATGCGAGACAGACATTGACCCACAGTAGTGAACTTCATGCTGTTGGACAGGGAAAGATGCACCGACAGAGAGCGGTTCACTACTGCGGGCCAGAACGACAACAAACAGCACCGTTTGACAATGATATGGCACGCCGTAGTGAACCACAAGTAGTTGGAAACGCAAATTCGGTAGTCTGCATGAGGTCAAGGGATGGAGAAGGTGAGGAGGGAGAATTGGGGCGGAAGGGGCGGTCAGTGGCAGCAATCGGTGCATCAAAGCGAGCGAGTCGGTTTGCGGGACGAGCATCTCGGGCGTGATTTTGGATTGCACACTGATGGGTGTCACGGGGAACCATCTTGGAATGCAGAAAGAGGAGTAAGGGACTGCGAGAGGAAAACGAGTATAAACGAGGTCTGACGAACTTCCAAAATTAAATCAAGAGAATTAAAAGTCGGAGTGAGGGAAAAAGAGGACGATTTCCAATTCGGGGAAGAAAATGAGATGAAATTTTCAAAGAATAGTGTGGGGTCTAGACGAGAGCATGCATAAAACAATAACGAATTCAAAATAAAATTYCGAAAATATTTGGGCGTAATTTCGGAATTTAGAAAAAATTGAAGTAAAATTTCAAGGAATTTCAAAAACATTCGTAAAATTTTTGAAAGTTCGAGGAGATGATGAAAGATGTAGAGGTGAATTGATAGGAAAATTTTTGAAATAAAATGGAAAATTCCTCAACGTATTTTCGAAATGGAAAGAATTTCAAAGGAAATTTGAAATAAACATAGAAAGCTAATTCCTAAATTAAGAATTTACGATGAAATTTCAGAAAAAATTAGTGATAGCCAAGTACAGTAAGTTGGGAGAAATTCTTGAATTATCCTGGTTAGATCAAGAATTTTTTTTCACGTGTTATAAGATTGAGGTGAATTTCAAAGAAATTTCAAAAGAATTTCCAAGGAATTTCAGAAGTATTGCAGAATTTCGTAATGTTATGGGGGAGGAGACACGAAATTGATTTGACTTCAGAATAATTAAATGTAGTAAATTCTTGAATTTATTTCACGAATTTATGAAATGGAATTGAATTTTGAAATTAAATAACAAAAATAAAGAAATTCGCATAACTTTTGAATAAAAGTGTCGGGATTAATTCTGTTCACAGCGTTGGTGGAAAAGAAGATGAAGATTAATTCTGTGAAATTATATTGAAATTATGAACGACAGAATGGACGACATTGTCAGGCAAGCACAAAGAAGGAAAATATGTATCACACGTAGTAAAAATTTTGGATGATGCGACCAATTAGGTGGGAGGGTGGAGAAGAGAAGGGGGGTTGGAGAAGAGATAAAGGATGGGGAAAAAGATGAGATCTTTGAGAGAGACCGGCGAGAGGAAGGGAGGGGATTAGTAAGGGGGAGATAGATTGACAATACCGCGCTCCTGGTCGGCCAGGAGCAATGAATGTCCTTCCCCCTAGTCGAGGAAGGTCTTCAGGTCACCCCTAAAGGGTCTTCTCGATCGTTCCCCCGGTGGAACGGCGAGGTCGCCGGATCAACTGCGCACTGATGACGTGGACAACGGCGACGATGTTGATGATGATGATGATGATGATGATGATGATGATGATGATGGCCACGAACCAGTTCACTGTGTACTAACTTTTCTGACCCCTCCAGCTTCAAGTCCCGAAACCGCTGAGGAATCGATAGGCCACGCTCTCAGAATTTGTATTCGTACTGGAAATCGAAGTCAAATGAGTTTTTGCCCTTTTGCTCCACACGAGATTTTTGTTCTCGTTGAGCTCATCTTAGGACACCTGCGTTGTCTTGGATCAGGTATGTCGTTCTGTCCAGATTCCCTGCGCGCGCGTGGGGGGGCGGGGCAAGCTTTCCTAAAGTACGACCAGATATCGACCCATGTCGTTCAGCTCACGCACCAGGTATGTCTTTCGCACCACTCACAACCTTCGATCCCACACACAGATGCCACGTGTCTCCATTTCTCCTTTTTTTTTTTTTTTTTTTTTTTTTTTCTCTCTCTCTCTCTATTAGCGATAGTCTCTGCTTCCCGCAATGTTTTTGCGTTTTTTTTCTTTTTCTTTTTCTTGGGATCTTCCCCTTCTCCCACGATTTTGTTCTCCTTTTCTATGTTACCCTTCTCCTCCCCGTACCTAAGATAGAGTTGCTTATAATAATAAAAATAACGAGAATAAAGGTAGTAACAACAACAATATTAATATATGTAATAATAATGATAATACACCGCGATAATGAAAGTATACAAGGTATCTTTGGGGTCCCATACACTCAGCGGGGGGGGGGGGTGTATTGCGTTTGGGCTGATCGCCCGACCACAGCGATTGCGCCTAGCTACGAACAGATAAGTGCCCCTCAATCTTTCCCTCTCTTTCATACACACACACACACACTGCAGCGGGCCTTCATCTGCCCTGGCCCACAGCCAGGGCCTATTTGGCTATTTGCTAGTCCGGCCTGTGGGACCAGGCCGTGGCCTGACCCCACAGGCCGTGCGGTTATTCAGTCCAGTCCAGTCCTGCCCGTTACCACTGTCGATACCAGGCCAGTCCAGTCCAGTCCTGAAAAGATCACAAAAAAATCTACGAGTACTCCAATTTTCAGGTTTTTTGACGCATTCTTTTGAGAGTGAAAACTCACCAAATTTGGAGTACTTTTTAAGTTGGCCCACACATGGCTGAGTGGCAAAAATGGGAAATGTGCCCAATCGGTGCAAGGATTATTTCTCCATCTAAATGATTTTTTAAAAATGTTATAATATTTTTCCTAGAAAGAATAGGACCTCATATATGGATTCTCAAAATTTCAGATTTTTGTGCGGGTTCCTCCGAGCACAGAAAATCGCCAAAGGTGCCTCTTGCAAAGCGCCTGTTTCGTTGCGCCTGACCTCCCTGTTTTGAGAGGACGGGCCTCAACGCCTGGGCCTGAGGGCCCTTACCCCACCACCACTTCTTTTTGGGGTCCACTTCCACCCGAGGACCGGTCCTTGCTTTTTCCAAAAGTCCCGTTCATTCCAGAGCTGCCTGTAGGTAGTCCCCAATTTCGCCAAGGACCGGTCCCCCCCAAACTTTTACCCCCTAACAACCCACTTTGCATCCTGGTCGCCCGCCGCCAAAAATGCGACACCTTGACGCAGACGCCGAAGCCCACTATACCGCAGCCTTAGTGCTGCGAATTGTCGGCATGGAAAAACGGAATTCCCGTTTTCACATTGTTTCCGTCCTGGAAAAGCACCGAGCGACCCGGAAAAGCACCGAGGGAGAAATTGTCAGCGCCTTCTTGTGCAGGGTAGGGAGGGCAGGGCGGTGGACCGTATTGAAGGTTTCCAAGGTCGCCGACGGCTGCGGTTTGTGTGTCCGAGAGTCCTTGCCATGTTTTCCTGGAACACGGTTGTGCAAGCGTCCTTGTCGCGGAGGGCAGGACCGTCGGCGAAGGTAGTGGTCCCATGCATGGAGGGCCAGAAAGAAGCGGGCTTGTGTGTCCAATGGTCATAACACATGTCCTCGGGTCCCACCAGAGGCCGGATGTCTCTTCCCGGGGCACTTCGACGACGCGTTGCTCAATGCCACTCACCACGTTGCGTCAGTCGTTCTTCCGGCCCTTGCAAAACCAGACGGACAATGCCCCACAGGCCCCCACTTTCCTTTTCCCGTCTGGCCTACTCCGCCCTTCGTATAATGGAAAAAAATAGGTCTCACTTTGCCCAAAAACACAGTCCGCTTTGGGACGCTTTTCCGAGCTTATCCAAAATTGTTTGCCCGGTTTCACTGGGCAAAAGCACTTTTTTTTTCACATTTCCATCCGCAAAGCTGTGGGACCCATCTGGGCACCGTCAGCGGTAGGGCATCGCCACACCACTCTCGAAATGTGCAAAATGAGAACGAACTTCCCCTTAGAACGTGGCCAGATTCGGCCGCCACATTGTTGTCTTTTTCACATTTCGGGAGGGCTGTGGCGACGCTCTTAGGGTTGGTAACATGTCCCGTTCTCGCCTGAGGACGGCCATCTCGGCGGGTGAATTTGTCGGTACCGACGAAGTGCTTGTCAGTTTCGTGGTTGTTGGGATTGCTTCCAATTATACAAGAATGATGTGCTACGTTTTGTGACGGATGGATTGATTGCCTTGGACATGTGCCGCCATCTCGATCAACAGGGTCGTCATCATCGCCGCAGCTGCGCAAGACCTTGCTCTGACCGCTGATTATTGGGTGGATCGTCCTCGCTCTCCTTCTTTCTGTCTCTCTTTCGTTAGCTTATGACGTGTGATTTGTTGGTGTGATCTAGCAGAGAGGAAAAGGAAGTGGTGGTCCTTGCAGGCGGGCTAACAAGTAGGGGAAGATGGCTACTCCTAGTGCTGTGCTGGCCGTGATGCGCGCGTCGAGACCGCGTTTCAGGAACCTCCAAGATCGGGTCGCATTTGTCGTTCATGCGACGATGCTTGTGTCGGGATACAGACCTGTGGCGATGGGCCGTGCAGCTGAAAGGGAGGTGCAACCCCCGAGCCAACAGGGAGACGAGGTCGAGGAGGAGGTGGGCGAAGAGGGCTGGAACGAACTTCCTGATTCCTATGCCTTTCGGTATGTGATCGATGGCAGCGGAGACGGTGGAGGGAACAAGACGTCAACAGGCAAGAGGCGGGTGGTCGTGAAGTGTCTGGCTATGGGGGACCTGCTGCTGGTGGACGCCATTGATCGTGCCGCAGACAGTGGAGAGCCTGTTCATTTGGAGGTCAAGGTTTCTGATTCCGCAGTCGAATCCGGTTCGTCTAATTACGGTGATCATTACAAAGACTTACCTAGTTTGGTAAAGAAGGTGGAGACTTCGATTGTGTCGGCACTGTCTGGGGGCGGCGGGACAAGAGGACCAGCAGGGGGAAACAGAGGTCGTACACGCGGCGTGCAGATGCAAGCTGAGCGACGTCAGGATGTGGGAGAAGCACCTGGTCGTCATCCCGCACCTGGTTCCATTGTCCCACCTGTGGCTGGTGATCCCCTTCGGGGGGATGACCCTCTGCGCGACCCCCTTCGTGAACCTTTGCGCGTGGGCGGGGTGTATCGCCCAGGCTATGGAGAAGATTTGTACCCTACCGGAGGGGCAGGGATTTTGCCTGGAGGGCCTGGGGGTTTCGCTGGCGGTGGCATTCTGGGCCCAGGAGGTTTCCCGGGGTCGGGTGGTGGTATGCTTCTTGGTCCCAATGACCCGCGATGGGGCTCCTACGTTGAAGGTGGGAGAGGAGGTGGAGGAGGATTTGGTGCTTTTCCCCCTGGTGGAAGGGGAGGTGTCCCACCAGGCCTTCCACCTGGTGCTAGATTCGATCCTTTTGGACCCCCTGGTGTTCCTGGATTCGAACCAAATCGCTTTATGGGGGGGGGGGGAGGTGGCCGTCCCTCTTCTGTCAGACCTCCACATCCGGATCTTGAGCACTTTCAACCCCCGTTCTAGCTTTTCTCTATTCCCCTGCGTCTCTTCTATCTTCCTCGTCTTCTCCTTTACCGCCTAACTAACCTCGGCTTTCTTCCTGTTCCTTCTTTTTCCCTCTCCTCCTCGCCCTTCCACCCACTCTGTTGTCCATATCTCAATCCCGGAGCAAGTCTCTACGCGCTTTTTGCGCGGGCTTTCTGTAACAAGAGTAGTCGGAGAACCTTCTTCATCAATCAATGTTTGTAGTTCTTCTCTTCCTGGCGACGAGGAGGTGTGTGCGGCAATCACACGTTAGGGTTACTTGGAAGGATGGTGTTGGATACATGTAGAAAACTTGTGTTAGGTCTATCCGTTGGATGCTCTGAGAGGTACATAGCCCTGCAGACAAACAGAAGTTCTCCGTATTCTGGCGAGGTCTGCGTATGTGTACATGCAATTGTATGTTAGGGTCTGAGGTGACATGTAGGAAAGGCGTTAGCGTGTCTCCGTTCGAGGCTCGGAAATGCGCAGTCGCGCGCACACGCACACACACACACACACACACAGAGAGAGAGAGAGAGAGAGAGAGAGAGAGAGAGAGAGAGAGAGAGAGAGAGAGAGAGAGAGAGAGAGAGAGATGTGGCTAACGAGCCGAAACTATGTGCAGGTGATATTGGAGGGTCAAAGGCCGTATATGAACTCGTGACGGTAAAATCTACTGTCCTTGGTTGTGATGCATGTGATATGACGCAAGGCAGAGGTGTGGAAGTCTCACGCAACGATGAGATTGTATATAGAACTGGATAACAGGACCAGACTGTGAAAAATAAAGAAGTGATAGGGGAAGAATTCTTCCCGTCTTGACAAGGGAGAAGGCATCAGCGGGGTAGAGAGAGAGAGAGAGAGAGAGAGAGAGAGAGAGAGAGAGAGAGAGAGAGAGAGAGAGAGAGAGAGAGAGAGAGAGAGAGCTTGTCGTCATGGTTTGACGTGTAAAGATATGACGTCATGTTGGTCAGCGTAAATTTGCGCGACAGTGTTCGATGGATCTGATGGGAAAGAGGTGTGGTGAGTGAATGCACTCAGTGGAAAACTCGGCTTGCATATGGTGAGGGAGTCTCTCGCTCTCCAGGGTTCTGACTCACACAGTTCAGTCCTCGTGTCGGGAATAATATTAGTCGTCATCTATGTATATCAATGATTCCCATGCTTCCCTTCTTCCTTCTGCGAACTGTCCAGTGCATTATTGCATGTATGGCTTCAGACCCAGCGCTGCAATGGTCACGTCATGTCTGTGGTTAATTAATCGATCAATCGATCAATCAATCAAGCATTCTAGCAGTCAAACGATCAACCAATCAATCAAGCAATCTATCGATCAATCAATCAATCAATCTACCAAGCAATCGATGAAGCAATCTAGTAAGCAATCGATCAATCAATCAATCAATCGAGCAATTAATTGATCAATCGATCAATCAATCAATCGATCGATCAATGAATGAATGAATGAATCAATCAATCAATCTAGCAATCAATCGATCAATCAATCAAGCAATCAATCAATCTAGCAATCAATCGATCAATCAATCAAGCAATCAATCGATCAATCAATCAAGTAATCTAGCAATCAATCGATCAATCAATCAGGCAATCTAGCAATCAATCGATCAATCAATCAAGTAGTTCAAGTGGTGGTGGTCATCAATTAGTGAACAAGTTGAAGGGATCGACATTGTATCCAACTGCGGCGTACACTGTGACCGCAGCTGTCTTGTACATCCTCTTCCTCGAACTCTATTCTCTTTTTTATGACTATCAATGAAAAGTTTATTATTTATCTCCAATTCTTTTTCTCTGTCTGCCGTGTATATCTTTTGTCTCTCTTTGTTTCTTTCCCCGTTTTTGTTCTTTCTATCCTTCTCCTGCTTCCGCGCTTTGACTGTTCAACCAGAATCTTGGCGCGCTTCAGCACTAGTATTTTGGCGCGCATCCGTACCAGATTTTCCTAATTAAGCGATGACGGCGTGTTGGTGTTTTCGAGCGTGCGAGAAGAGAGAGTTGACCTGACGGTGGGAGGTTGTACTCGATCGAGCCTAAAGATTCGCAGGATATATGTATGCCAATTGCACGGTACATAGACTGACGATTGTGCTTCGCTCACGGGTGGGACTGACGTCTATGTTTTTGTTCTGCTGGCATAGAGTGTACGTGCCCACTTTCCTTGAACCCATATTTCTGCAATATTACCCTTTGCTGTGCCCGGTTCTCCATAAGAGGAGTTGGGGTTGCGAGGCGGTCTACAGTCTTTCCCCCAACGTCCGGTCATTATAGCTGAATTTGGTGTATCTTTGTCTAAATTCAGCTATAATCATCGTACGTTGTATTCGGGGGAAGA